GACAGGATCAGGGAAAAACAGAACCCACTAATAATGAACCTGTGGGTGTCTGACATGAACCAGTCACCACAGAACCATCCTCCAAACCTTATCGGATGCCCTGCCAAGTGGGTCAAATTCTTAGTTGGTTTCACATTTCCAGGAATAACATGGCCTGAAGGAAGGCCTGAAGGAAACCGGACAGACAATTAAGAAAGGAAGCAATGACCAGGACTTGTAACACCTCACTTCCTTCACCTTGAAAAAAAATAGTAACTTCTTTAGGATTCAAATGACTAGGTTGGCAGTATGTTTTCCCTTAGTGGTTACCCTGAAAACACGTGCCGAAGATGCAGAAGAGCCAAGTTTAAAAAAGCCCTAGCCAAAAGGTAGGGTTCATTTAGTTGGCATTACACAGACGCTACATATCTTACGGAAAAACACCCATTTACATTAGTGTCAAAAACCGTCTGTACTAACAGACAAACAGAAAACAAAACCACACGCTGGGAGCCATCGTAACGTTTTTGAAAAGTCACAAAACTGTATGGAGCTCTCAGTATGGAAAGGGACAAAACAGGCACAACTGGGACAGCAGAACCCAAAGTCAGAAGGCACACTCAGCAGCCAAGCGGCCCGTCCAGCCCCGGGAAAGCTGATGAATGACATGACGAGCCGGCTTGCTTCCTCGCGCAGAGGCCAGGTCTCACTTGCCAAAACAGGCAGTCATCCTCTCACTCCTGTGCTTGGATGGCTGCCATAGGAAGCCAGCCAGGGAGGTCTTGCACTTGCTAAGTTCTTACGAGGCATTTTAATGCACTCTGACCCTTATCCAGTAAAATCATTTTTAAAAATGCAAGAGAAGAGAGGCTCTGGTCTGGCCAGGTAGCTTAGTTGACTGGCGCATAGAGGCGTTCAAACCCGTCTGGGCCAATGCAAGAGTCAACCAATGAATGCATGAATAAGTGGAACAATAGGTCAATCTCTCTCTCAACCTCTCAATCAATACATACATTTTAAAATAGGCAAGAGAACAGATATGGACAATAAGGTAGAAACTAAACTCTAAAAGCTGGAAGCCACTAAAATTAGAACAACAGTACTGGTTGTCTCACAAACGTGATCTCTTCTATACAGCACATTTTCTGAGGGTGTTTAGGAGATAAAATGTAAGGAGCTTATATACAGGGTGGGGCAAAAGTAGGTTTACAGTTGTATCCATGCACTGGAAACAGAGTTAATTCTTGTATTATTATTTACTTACCAATTTTTATATGTGAAAGTGGACACCTACTTTGCCCCACACTGTATGTCTCCACTTGTCCCCACGGATGTGCATTGGGGTGGGGAGAGGTAGTATACAAATACCAGTTCATAGTCAATTATTTTGGCGGCAAATTGCATGTATACTGTCAGTTTAACAAAAACTTCCATTTACCATAACCTGTAACTAAGATGGGGGTCATGAAGGGGAAAGAATAACACAGTTAAAAGTTACAAAAAGATTGAGAAACTTCTATGAAGCCCTTATATGTGTGTACTCCAAGGCCTTTACTCTAGGTGTTTCTTCATCTAGCTGTAAACTATTTGGCTGCCTGACCCCCATATGCCTACCTGCCCCTCAGACAGTAGCATCTAGCATACCCAGCATGCTTCAGGAAGCTGAAACCCATGCATTTCACTTCACCGGCACCAGGGCACCAAACACACATACACTCAACATGGCGCTGTGACGGAAAGAAGGGAAGGCTGGAACGGGAAGAGAAAGCTCCTCTGTTTTAGAGGGCACCAAAAACAAAGAAAAAGAAAAGGAAAGGAAACCTTCAATCTGAGCTGAACAGTGGTAAGATAGACAAGGTCATTCTGACATGTATTTAAATAAAATAGCTTTTCACTTTCACTTTCCCACTTGCTCAAGTTTTTCTCTTTTATGTGGTAACTGAGAGATATTTAATTGGAATTTATTTTAAAATAACATAAAAGCAAACTAAACCTTTAATATCCAGACAGAAAGGAGAATAAAGACATACATGAAACTGAGCTACAGATGGGGGAGGAGGGTCAACAAACAAATAAAACCCAAGGAAGAATATGAAGACAAGTTTCCTAAGATCCTGAAAACAGGTGCAAAAGATGCAGAAGAGCCAAGTTTGCTACCAAAAACAGACAGACAGACAGACAAACAAACATAAGAAAACACCAAAACACACTAAAGCAGGAGGCAGCATAGATTCACAACGAACTCCACAGGCCCAAAGAGAGCACCTCCCGCCCCCTAGGTTTCAATCAGCCTCTAGAAGACCTAGAGTGTGAGCCTGCATATACTTTTGACCGGGCATATTTGGCCCTAATGTAGATCACCATTGTGCTTCCCCAAATAGGTATTTATAACTCCCCCCATTCCCTGTAGTTGAACAAGCAAAAAATTATCCTTTGATTACCCCAACATCTTCACCAAAAGGATGATATTAAGGAAAATATTGAGAATGATATTAAGGAAAATATTGTTAAGAATGCCATAGCAGGTACATATAGAATATATGTAAACGATAACTCAGCAAGGTAAGCCACGGAGAAAACAGGGCTGATAGCATCACACTGTTAACAATGAACAGATACAACTTAGTCACCTGTGGCTCTAAGACCATTAGCAACAGGTTTGTGGGACTCTCTACTATGAGGAGTGCACATCAATGTACCTCACTCATTAAAGAGAGACACAACTTGTTGACAGAAGTCCAATTACTGTAGGCAACAGTGTTTAGTCTGTAATCTGCAGTGACTGGCTACAGAGAAAGAAAAGCTCAACAGAATTGCAGTGCCTAATAGGAACAGGGTACCACTCCATCTAGGTAAGGGTGACATGGCCAGACAGACACATTCATGATATGCCATCACAAGGAACAAAAGGCAAAGCCTCAGCTAGACTTGGTCAGAGAACAGAACCGGAAGATAATATACTCTAATTCATCACTGCTGTGGGCTAGGCTGAGCTCTAGCAGCTTTTGTTTATAGTTGTTTTTACTTCTTGGTGCCCAAGGCAAGCTTCCTGAGTGTCCAAGCTAAGATTTACTAGTCCTCCTTCTGTTTCCACCCTTGGGCGATGTGGTCCTCCCCACACATGACCTGAATCCCTTTAAGCATCAGTGACTACGGAAGCTGAAATGGATGGTGTGTCCTTGGAACTGAGGGTGAATTGATGAACCAACAGGCCTTCCCTAGGCAGCTGGTCAAAATCAACACCTCAACTGCTCTCTATCCCCCGTGGTTGGTTTCATTTCTCTTTAGAGGAGTTGCCACTCCCTGACTTTGCTATTGTCTACCTTTCCAATGTGCATGTAGGGACTTGATCAGTTTTGTTGACTGTTATATTCTCAGTGCCTAGACCAGTGCTAGGCACAGCAGGCACTGAAATACCTGCTAAATAAATGAATAAACCCTCCCAATTAACAAAGGTATTTATTTAGCCAAGAGATCCTAATCGTGCAAGGGTAGGGTCCTGATCACCAACCACTCATTTGGACACAGCCTTAAAAGTATCTCGTGTTCTATTCCTCTACAGCATCTACATCCACTAGCTCAAAGGATGCTCACACATTTCTCCCTCTTAGAGGCAACCTTAGAAAAAAGAAGTCATGAGAAAATGTCAATACCTAAACTTGTCCTAAAACCTATATTGACCTTTTCCCACTAAGATTTCCTAGTCATAGTGAGAATTAAACAGGGATTTTAAAAAGAGGTAATTTTATTTTAATATAACTAGAAAGAAATACCTTCTAAGTCATATTAAAAAATGAAAAAGCAACACAGTAATAGCTCAGGTGACAAGATAGGAGGTTAAATTTAAGCCCCAGTTAGAATTCTGCTTTTCCCTGAATCCTATCTAATAAAAGAGTAATATGCAAATTAACCATCACCCCTCACTCCGTCACTCCGTAACAAAGATGGTGGTGGCCATGGAGCTGGAGTGAGCAGGTGGCTTGAGCTGCCCCGGCGATGGGGGAAGCCAAGCTTCCCACCTGCCCTGCTGGCCCTGAGCTCCGCTCAAGGCTACAAAGTTTCAAATATAGAAGATAAATAAATCCCAGATACCTGCTTCCAGCCCGCGGCGTAGCCAGCCTGAAAACGGCCATCAGCCCCTCATCCAGGCTGGCCACACTCCCATGGGGTGAGGGTCCCCACTGGGGGGCTTGACCAGACTGCAAACAGCCATCAGCCCCTCACCCAGGCTAGCCAGGCACCCCAGCGGGACCCCCACCCTGATCCGGGACACCCTTCAGGTCAAACCAGCCAGCCCCCACCCGTGCACCAGGCCTCTATCCTATATAATAAAAGCCAGGACACCCTTCAGGGCAAACCAGCCAGCCCCCACCCGTGCACCAGGCCTCTATCCTATATAATAAAAGGGTAATATGCAAATTGACCCTAACAGCAGAACGACTGGGAATGACTGGTCACTATGACACACACTGCCCACCAGGGGGCAGATGCTCAATGCAGGAGCTGCCCCCTGGTGGTCAGTACGCTCCCACAGGGGGAGCTCTGCTCAGCCACAAGCCAGGCTGACGGCTGCCAGCACAGCGGTGGTGGCGGGAGCCTCTCCCGCCTCTTCAGCAGCATTAAGACTGCAGTTTAGGCCTGCTCCCCGCTGGCAAGTGGACATCCCCCAGGGCTCCTGGGCTGCCAGAGGGATGTCTGACTGCCAGCTTAGGCCCATTCCCCCAGGGAGTGGGCCTAAGTCAGCAGCTGGACATCCCCCGAGGGGTCCCAGACTGCGAGAAGGCACAGGCCGGGCTGAGGGATGCCACCCCCTCCACCAGTGCACAAATTTTTGTGCACCAGGCCTCTAGTATAAAACAGAATCTCTATAGATGCAAAGGTAGCTGCCCTGGAAAACTTCACATTCAGTGCCTGAAAATAAACAAGCTACAGAAAACACAGAGCTGAAGTCCTTTGGTTAATCAGCAGCCAAGCTCTTGGCACCTCTGAGCCACACAGCTCTATTCAGGGACACAACTCACCCCAGATATGTCTGCGACACGGTGGATAGGCACTTCCTTCTTGCTATGCAATCCTTTGCCATTCTTAATAGCTCTGTAGAAGAAAAAAAACAATTAAAATACAAATCACACTGGGAAGAGGTAGGAGAGTGGGAAAATGCTGGTGAGAAGAGAAGTCGTTCAAATGGAGGGGTCTATTACTCACTACACAAGTCACACTGCACAGAGCTGAGTAGCCAGTGTCTGCAAGAGTACTTGGAGGAGGGAAATATAAGCCGGCTCTTCTAAACCCACTTATCAGTACTTGGCTGCTAGTTTCAGCTAATGGTGTGTCTGGTAATCAGAGAGCTCCCGGAACTTGTTTCCAAATTAGAGGCATTGTTCCAGGCACAAAAGAAGAATAGTTGGAAGAGTAGACTCCTAAGAAACACAAGTAATAATGTTTCTTCCTATGTTTAATCACATGAAACATTTAAAATGCAAAATATGTAGCTAGTGTTCCAATTCTAATGGAAATAAGTTCCTCCCAAGTAAAAAGATAAGTTGCTCTGAATGAAGCAATATTGTATGGAAAAGCCATTTAACAGTAGAGAAGTGGTTAGCAATGGCTACATAACTGACATGAAGCCTCGTTTTTCATCAGTCTCACGTTGTAGTAACAGTAGCTTTAGCAGGGGGCTCTGGGACTCTGCCACACATCTGACCCCTGGTTGGTCTGCTCCAATCTCCCACCTTTCATCCCCTAATCCCTTGAATGGTAACAGGGACTGACGCCCAAGCATCACTGGGTACGATCACTGATGTAACAATGAAGGGCTGGTGAATAAAAGCTGGTGCGTAAATAACGAAGTCACTGCACTAATAGGTCAGACCTTCCTGTGTTCTACCAGTCTGCAGACCCAAGCAGGGAACATTCCTGAGAATGAGGAACGGAGATTCAGGGGTGTGCCCATTCTGTGGATTAGCCTTTTTAGAGTTTCTGAATTCCAGAGAAAAGGAAAACTGACCAGACCAGGGTCAAATATGTCAAACCCTCACACCAGTAACCACACTTCTACATTCTTCTCACCCAGGCTCTCACGAAATGACCAGCAGGAGAGGACACTGCTCTGCAAGAGGTTCTTTTAGGCCCTGACTTTCTAAATCAAATTCACAGAAACCAAATGAGTGAATGTTGCTCGACGCAAGGTGGAACAGTCATATTTCTTACATACGTGGGCCATTACCATCCATCCCTTGCCCTTCCTCCATCACAGGGGATCTGTCTCTGACTCAACTGATTTAAATGCCTTCTGGTCAGAAACAACAAACAAATACTTTCCTTACTACCTAGTTTTCATTCCATGATGAGGTTAGGATATGAAAGCACAGAGGTAACAAGAAAAAAAAAATCACACACTCCCTCTGATCTGAGCTGCTAACTGAAAGAAAGCATGTCACAGTTCCTTGAGTATCACGGCTCCCTCCTGAACTTGAAGCAAGGGCTTCTTCAGCTTTAGAAATTGCAAATAGGTCAGATTCTTCCTTTTACAATTTAGTCCAAGGATTGATCATTCAGGGAGCCTGTTAATATCACGGACCAGGGCTGGTTCTCAAGGTCTGTCCCAGGCCTTTGGGATTTATAAACTCACGGGAGAGGACTAGAGGATGGTTTATATGGGAAACCACTGGCTGGAAGCCAACAACAGAGCTAACTCATCCTCTGCCACCAACAGGCTCTCCCTCTCCCCATTCTGCTACCTTAACCTTCACGGTGAGGCCTGCTAAGTTTTCCGCAGGTCCTCTGGGGGCACAAAATGCCTACAGCCTGATCTCCTTCCAACAACAAGGACAACGGAAACAAATGGACCTGCCCTGTAAACAGGCAGTTCATGTGAGAGCACTGCTGACCCCGTGGCCTTTCCTGGGGGCTGGAAAGCACTTCGTACAGTCTGAGAGAAAAGAACTGGGCCTGAGCAGTAAGTTAGAAAACAGAGGTTCGAGGCAAAGGATTCTTTCTGTGACCCCAAAGTAGCTCTGCTCTGTGCCATAAGCAGAAATCCAGGACTTAACCAAGATTAAGCATGCCACCCAAGGGAAAAAATAATACCCCAAGCAAAAAAACCATGGATAACAGAGTGCATAAGACATTTAAACACAAACAAACCAGAATTCTTTAAAATTAATTCTTAAAAAGAAAACTTTATGCTCTACCTTGTTCCTAAAAAGGATATTATCAGACTCTTATTTACATTCAGGCATTAATTTGGGAAAAACCTTCAAAAACTTAATTTTTTCATACTTATGACTGCTAAATTAGATCAATTTCAAGTACATTCAAGAGGCAGCAAGAAAGCAGTAGTATAACATCATATACAACCCAGCCATGGCTCAGTGGTTAAGCGCTGACCTATGAACCAGGAGGTGATGGTTTGATTCCCAGTCAGGGCACATGCCTGGGTTGCAGGTTGCGGGCTTGATCCCCAGTGGGGGACATGCAGGAAGCAGCCAATCAGTGATTCTCTCTCATAGATGTTTCTATCTCTCTCTCCCTCGCCCTTCCTCTCCCTTTTATGAGATCAATAAAAATATATTTTAAAAAAGTAACATATAGAAACTGAGAAACAGTTCTCACTGCTGTTAACAAACTAGAGGCCACACTGAGAGTTAATAATTTGCAAATACTAAATACAAATAATGCCACCAATAGTGTGAATGATACACTGGACTCAGGCTGCCAAACGAGAGGGCTCGGAGAAATGAGCTACATGGTTATGTAATTCTGCTTGGGTCTCCCTCCCTGTGCCGGGGTTGCCTTGGTTCTTGTCCCCATACTGCTGCAGAAATGAGCTGGTGAGCCATCCAGAAAACCGCCCTCAGCCTGACACAAGCCTAATAATGCCACAGCAGGAGAGTAACGGAGAAGTGCCCAGTGTCGGGTCTCAAAGAGGAAAGGAGCAAACACCAAGAGTGGCAGGCCTGCCACAGTCTTTCCAAAGGGAACATAATACACATCTCTGTTCCAGGACTATAAGGCTAAAGGACAGACTCCCCTAACAGCTGGATGGATGGTAAATAGAGTCAAGACCCACGCGTCTTACATAACCTAATTTCTTTGGGATGGGTTTGGGGAGCTTTGTCTTTGAAACATAGGAGGGGAGTCAGCTAGCAGGTTTGCTTCCACTGAAACCTGCTCCATAGAGCAAATACCAACACCCCTCCCGCATTCCCTCTCCCCACAGGCTGCAACCACAGCTCAACATCCCTTTTCATTAGGCAAGGAATGAAACTCCTGACTCCTAAACTTCTCCTGCTGCGTCTGCTTAATAGCTGCTTTCTCACAAAGGCAGGCTGTGCTCAGGCCAGCCAGGAGAAAGGAAGCAGTGGGGCAGAGCACAGCTTGCTTCTCGCAGAACCTTAGTCTCCAAGAAGCAGCAGTGTGCAAAGATGGCAAAGACCAGCGATGTCAACAATGGAGAGAAATCATCACCAGCCAGGAAACCTGAGTATACATCCATTCATGCAAAGGGCTAAAGGTCAGAAGAGAAATAAAAACTCAGCTTTCCAGGTTGCTTCTAGAAGCTACAGTGTGGGAACAGAATCCCATTCCAATCATTAGAAACACTCCTCTTCCTTGAAACAGCCAAGTTTAAAATTCTCACACAAGATGCTCCTGCTTCCCCAATAGAAGATAAAACCATCAACTGTTAAAACAAGATTACCCCCACTGACTGAGCACAACAGGATTAGAATCTCAGCACATTTTATGCAATGACGGAGTTTTCTCTTAGGATCTGGGGTCCCTAACTCAGACGAAAAACCTACAGACCAAGACCAGCCCTCTCCAAGGCACCATTGACACTAACAGTTTGTAAGATTACAAAGAAAGTCAAAGATTCTATGGTTAGATGCAACCTAACACCAACCGTAAAAGAGCTGTCACATTCGGAATTATTAACCTGGGGACATAAGTGAGCTACACATTTAGCTGAAGTATCTACAAACTATCCTAAAATGGTAAAAGTATAGATCTGAATTTTTATGGGGAACAGGAGCTTCCAACAGTTTCACAAAAAGAAATGCTTTCATATATAAAATCTATTTAAAGAAAATAAAGTGGTGGAGAGCAGAACGGCCTACAACAGAGAAGTGGCAGGGAAACGATATGGTGAGGGAAGCTATAGAGCTGAAAGATAGAAGGAGATCCTGAATTCTTAAATTTCCCTTAAACGATGCTTTCTTGGTAACTAGGAACCAAAATGTCCCATAATTCTGCTTCTGCTTCATCCACCATCCGATACTTCCTTCCTAGATGTACGCACGTGGCCCTTTGGTCACCTATTAGGCCAGGCCCTCACCAATTTATTCCAAGATAGTAATACTTCAAGTAAATTCACTCAGTTCCTTTTGATACTGCACACTACTTTGATCCAGCATTGTGTTCCACGGTTGCATGGCTTCTCATAAAAATCTGTTTCATCATTTTGCTCCCTACTTCCACCCAAAACAAAGACCACCAGCCTGTGATATCAAGGGGAAATTAAAATGCTTAGCTTACTTGGGCCTCTACCATGCAGCCCCAGTTTATATCTTCACATGGTTTCTACATTACTCCTTCTAATACAATTAGGCCCATTTTCTCTAGGTCTCTACACCAAAGTTATTCATTATGTGTGCTCTCCCAGGTCCAAAGTATAGAATAAAAAGAGTTATAACTTAGAGCTGTAGGAGCACAATTATCACATCAGGAATTCTTAACCTCGGGTCCTAGGAAAGCTGCAGTTTATATGCTGGGAGTATTTACAGATGACTTTGAAATGGTAGTGGAATTATATAAATATACATATGGGGGGGGGGGAACAAGCTCAGTTCAGCAGGTAATTATAAACTGCAATATATTGCTTTCAAAGTACATCATGTGTTCATCTTTATTTCCATAGCTAGAACTCAGGCCTTTTCAGGGTTAGGATTCTGTCCTTGATGTTTGTTACCGTATTTAACACAGAGCTATGTTCAAATAGTTATATAAACCCAGTACCATCTAGTTCAATTATTGTGTGTCTAGCAAAGCTGAACAAATGACTGGTGACTGACTAATGCAGAACGCTGAGAATA